ATATATGATTCCTCATCAATATTCCTGAAGAATGATGTAGTAAATATATTATAATCAAAGGAGTGATTATACACATTATATTTTTTTAGATGAAAGAGATTCTTTTCTCTTGTAATGATAGAAGTTAGTGTAAATATAATTTTCTTGTTATACAAAACTTATAGATAGCTCCAAAAGAGCATTGCAGAATAAGAGCTGCATAATAGAAGTAATAAAACTCTCATAAATATTGAATATTTTGAGAGGATAACTATTGTCTTGCATTGACGAATATTCTGTTGGTATTGACAAATCCTTATTGTTTAAAGTGTCTCTATTAATGTTTAAGATACCAATGGAAATGAATATTACATGACACTTGATCGAGAGTTGTTTTCACGTAAACCAGAAGTTTACTGAACCAATTTTTTATTTTAAACATAACCAATTAAATTATCACGATTTAGTTTGTGATGTGAAGAAAAAAAATCATTAAGAACTCAAGTAAGTACTATTTGAAAGACTAGAAGTTTTTGTTATTATTAGGACCAGAAGATCCTATAGTCTTGTTCTCATTAAAAGATTATTATGAGATTATCACAGATGAAACTTGAGATTCATTTCATACATATTTAGAAATTGTTCAAGGATAATTGATTGGGTCCATCAACTATTCGTGATGACAATATATGATTTATATAATGCATCGTTATATTTGTCATATTTGTTGACAATTAACTCGTAACCCGAAGTTTATGATATTTGTCCATATATTATATTATGGACACAATTTATAGGTTATGTTGAACATCATTAGTCACAAAAGAGCCTGCAGCTCTAGTTTATATGCAAAGTGCATTGAAATAGTGGCTATACTTTTGATTATGAGAACAAATCATTTTATACTAGATTTTGAATCTTCATTTATGTGGTAATTATTTGGAGCGAATGCTTAATGGGCTTAAATTAAGATAAATTATCAAGATACCACAATGGTAGGTAGACACTGAGGGAAGGTTTTTTTTGAAGGAGTTGAATGGAAGATAAATTCCATGACATATAAAAGATTATATATATTCTTCAATTAAAGAAGATGTGAACCTGAAGTTCAAGAAAGAATATTATACAAAGATATTGCAAATAAAGTGCTCATCATGAATTTTATGTGTCAACTATAAACACTTTGGTTAGAAGTGAATTCTTGATATTTTTCTCAACCATAAAAAAAAGGTCTTATTATAAGGAACCTGTAGTTCCAACATATGAGAACCTGAAGTTCTCCTTCACATGTATTTTATGTACACATGTTCATTTTTTATTAATCCTTCCCTAAAAATAAAATGTCAAATCTTCAAAACTTTGAGTTTCTTACACTTGATATCTCCTGAAGAGAAACAAGTTTGTCCCTTCTCACAATATTTGATTGTTTGATTGTGTGCCTTACATTCCCTCTCCCCCACAATGCATTTAATATAAAGTAGAAAACTGTGCATTGACATTGGCTATAACTCCTTGTCTATTGTTAAATGTTTAGAGTTTTTCATAGGAGATATATTAACAACAAAGTAAGTTAAGTGTCAACTTTATGATGAAATATTCCCAGCCTTAGGGGGAGATAAGAATAATGAAAGACTGGTAATACAAGAAGTTATATGAAATGCATCATTGTAAATTTTTGACTCTTGAAGTGGTTAATATAATTTTGAAGTCTGATTTGCAAAGAAGAGCAAAAAAATTACTAGATGCATTCACATATATGAGCAGAGTGACAAAGTTACGTATACCAGCATCTTAAGCATCGCTCGATTTAATGTTGTCCCAGAAGTGACTATTGAACATTTTATGTGGGAGAATAATTGATTTCAAAGATAAGAACCCACGAAAATGAAGATAGCAAAAATGCTATTAGTGAAATCACATACATGATAATGAGTGAAACCCCCCAAAAGAGGTCATTGTCCCAGAAGAAGACTAATACTATTCCAGAAGAGATAAATGTCCTAGAAGAGACTAATATGATTCCAGAAGAATAAGTTTCCTAAAGAAACATCGGTACCGAAATAAAATGAGATCTCTATTAGTTATGTACGAGACTGTACAATATGAAACCAAAATGAAACACGTGTTAATGATATTCTTGCATATGCTATGCCAATGGATGTAATCAATAAAAGAGATTACTTGCCTAAAACTCAAAGAAGAGTACATGTAGATAGTACATAAATGATTTGCCAAATGGCAAAAGACCTTGAAGGTCGAATATAAGTCACCCGATAAACGGAATATTTTCGGACCTGAAGTCTGAACACCCATAGACGTCAAACCAATAGGTTTAAAATGGGTGTCTGTAATAAACAGAAATAAAATGAATGAGATTGTGCGATATGAAGTACTACTTGTAAATCAAGGGTTTTTCTCTAATCCCAGGAGTTGATTATGAGGAAACGTATTCTCCGCTAATGGATGCAATATCCTTTTAGAATTTTAATTGGCCTCGCAATCTCAAAAGGACTTCAAATAAATGATATAGATGTCGTTATAACAGAATTATAAGGGACACTTGAAATCGACATCCGTGTGATAATAATCCCTGAAGGATTCAAAATGCCAGAAGCAATAAAATTAATACATTGAGATATGTGTGAAGAGATCGTGGAATGGTCTTAAGTAATCTGGTCATATGTGGTACAATTGACCTAGTGAATATCTCGAAAAAGAAAGATACAAATTTGAAATCAACCTATGTGTTGTCATTCAAGGATCGCTCTCAATATTCTTTATTATAGCAGTTTACGTCGACGTATAAATATCATTAGATCTCCTGAAGAGATAGAAAAAAAACTGTTAAACTCTTGAAGAAAGAATTTGAAAAGGAAGATCCTGACATGACATAAATTATACTTCAGATTGTATTTAAAACTCCTATATGACGGGACATTTGTCCATAATTTAAACTACATCCAGAAGATGGTAACATGTTGAAATATGGATAAAGCTCATCCTTTGAACATACATATGGTTGTTCACTCATATATATACATAACATTCTAATCGTCTCCCAGAAGAGGGCGAAGAAGTAATTGGTCCAGAAGTACCAAACTTAAGTGTGAAATTAGACAGGCAATGTGTTCACATATGGTGATACGACATTTTCTTGGAAGTGGACTGAGCGAGTACGAACAACAGCATGGAATCAAGCCGAACTGATAGCATTATACGACAGTGATCGAGAGCAAGCATGGTAGAGATTGCTGATGAATCTCATACAAGGAGCATATAGTTTGAAAGAAATCAAGAAGAATGCTACGATTATATATAAAGGTAACGCAACATGCATAGCTCAAATCAAGGAAGGCTACATCAAGGGAGACAGGAACGAAGCAAATCTCTGCAAAGTTTTTCTCAACATCTGATATGCAAAAGGAAGGTGAGGTTGATGTTCTTCAAGTTAAATCAAGCAAAAGTTAGCGGACTTATTCACCAAATCTCTGCCTAACCACAGTTTTGAGCAACTCATAAAGAAGATTGGACTTCGCAGGCTAAAAGAGATAAATTAGTTTGAGGGGGAGTATATTTTTATTTTGATGGAAAATATTATACACGTTGCACTCTTTTTCCCTTAACTAAGTTTTGTCCCACTGGGTTTTTTTTAGTAAGGTTTTTAATGAGGCAGCATAACTGATCCTGCAGTATCCGTTAATATAGGTCCTGAAGAACCTAGCCAACATTATCTAGTAGCATAATGTTGTTAGTGTATAATGCATGATGATATATTTGAGGGGGAGTGTTAAATATGGCAGATATATTTCTTGTTCTATTTAGAATATCTTGTTTCCTTATTGACCTAGACTATACCTCCTCCCGTGTATGTATAAATACCCCCGTATATGATGAATGAAAGACGGAGTTCACAACAAGACGCTCGCCTTCAAATGCCCTCTCTTTCTATTGCCTCTATCATTTGTATTCCTAGATCCACAATTTTTTATGATCGTGATACAATTGTCGGTCACATTGGGTCTCTCTATTGCCTAACTCCAAACTTTTTCTGAGTAGACATCATTTTTATGAGATAAAAATGAGTCCTATTTTTATTTTAAATGAGTATTCTTTTAACCATTATATACACAGTAGTTCACAAGAACCCCCCTGTGATATGGGTCACTAGTGTCATGTACCCGAGGCTTCTACACTATTTTGTTTAAGAAATTGAAGACTTTTACCCGTGAATAGCTTTGAAACTAAAACGTTAAAAACTTAAAATCTCGTATTATTCATTTATTTCCAAATAAGGACTAATACTAACATTAAAAAAAATTTACTTCACGTACTTTTAGAGAGGTAATAACCATCAAATTTACCAGAAGAGCACGCAGAGGCCGCGCGGGTCACAATATGATCTTGAATTTCATGGTCAAAAGAACCATTGTGATTTTAAAAATATAATATTTTTAAACTTTGTTTAAAATAAATCAATTGATATCATGTTTATGTCACAATGTAATATATTTTCCATAATTTGTAGTAAAAATTTAAAAACATTAACCAAAAATATCGAAATGAGAAAGAATTATACTGGACAAAGGGAGTAACTATCTTTCATCTAATCTACTGAGAAAATTCATTATATGGGTTTTCTATTATTAGAAGCAACAAGAAACGTATTTCCTTCCATGGAAATTCTTCCACTATGTTTGGTTCAAGGAATTTGAGAGGGAAAGGAAAAGAAAATGAGAAGGAAAACATTTTTTCTTGTTTGGTTAGAGAGGAAAAGAAAAGAAAGGTGGAAGGAAAAGAAAATGAGAAAGCAAAATGTGGAAAACCAAATTCCTCCCATTTTGGTGAGGAAACTAATGGAAAACCATTTTCTTTTCTTTTCCTTCCAAATTCCATGAACCAAACATAGTGTTCAGGTTCCGAAACAAGAAAAGCCATCTATTGTGACAAATTTTTTGGAGTCCCCGCCAGTAGCAGTAGCACATGAGAGAAAGCTGTTATAGTGCATCCCACATTGGAAGTCCAAGAGTAAAATAATTCGGTATATAAGCTCTTGAGTTAAACTAACTAATCGATTGGATTCAATCTTTTAATGTGATTCATCCCAAGTGTCTTATTACTCAATCCAGTTGTCCATACCCATCCCAATATCTATCATTGTATCAGAGCAAGTTTAGCCCACCTCGTTTGTCAAGGTGTCCGTCTAGACGTTCATTCCTAGCGGCCCGTTTGTCTTTAGCCCAGTTGTCCGTATGAAGTATGTATCCAACGGCCTGTGGCCCGTTTAACACGATTGCTCGTCTGGAAGTCCATACCCAACGACTCGTGATCCTTTAGGTGTTGGCGCTCAAAAAAATCAAGGAAATGAGAGTTCATTTGCAAGTGGTCAATCAGTTAGATTTAAAATGGTCCAGTTGTCCAGTTGAGGAGGAGTGTTAGAGTGCATCCCACATCGGAAGTCCAAGAGTAAAATAATCTGGTATATAAGCTCTTGAGTTAAACTAACTAATCGATTGGATTCAATCTTTTAATGTGATTCAACTCAAGTGTCTTATTACTCAAACCAGTTGTCCATACTCATCTCAAATTCTATCAAAAGCAAATCATAATTTTTCTAGCACATTGTGGCACACTGCTTGTGTTCAACCATTCAAAATTGCATCATGACTGCACGAGTGTTTGAATTCTAAACTTATTACTTGCACGTTTGTGCCGTGTCCAAATTATCCGCACAATTTACATTAGAAAGTTGAACTTGAACACATACCCCTCTGCAAAGTCATAAATAACACCATACTTGTGTAGCTCAGATTACGAATTATGATGGAACTGGAAAGACACATTCGCCGGTTGCGAGAGAGCTATGGACTCTCAAAGCCAAAGATGCGAAAAACACCTGAAAATGAGTGAAACGTGTTGAGAGAGAGAGCATGCATCCGAACTAGTAGTAGATTTATATACTGTGGTGGCATACCTTCATCTGCTTGATACTTGTTTTTATCATCCCCAGCATGGGCGAGCAAGTTCAACTTTGGGTTCCACTCCACACTGTTCATTGCATCACGACACGGAATCTGGTGAACTGAACGTCCTGTCTGGACACTTGACTGTTAACATGGAAAGTAATCATATTATTGAAGTCCTTGAAATCTGAAGTGTGATCTAAAAAGAGGCCCAATAGCAAGGGCAAAAGATGATTAAAGACTACTTACTATCTCAATGAATAAATCTAAACTAGCAGAGGCGAGCAATTCTCCTGTATGGTTGAAACTTATTGTCCTAACAGGCCCTCTGATGGAGAAACAAGTAGATGAGCAAACCCCATGCCAAGATGGGAAAACAGGTCAAAATCATTTGTTTTTAATACTCACTCAAGCTTTGTAAACGTTCGAACACAGAGCATCTCTTTAATATCCCAAAGGCTGACCAAGGAATCAGCACTTCCAACAGCAAAATATCTGTTTAAAATAGTAAAGTTATTTATTCATATCTTGATCAGAAATGTTTATTAGTTCATGCATGCATTAAATCATCAACTAGTCTACTGGACAAACCTGCCAAGCGGGTCAATCGCAATGCAATAGCAACCAGCTGTGTGAGCCTTTAGTGTCTGAACAAGGCGCAGAGAAGGATACGATAAAACCTCCACCGTTCCTGAACATTGCAGTGAAAAAGAGAAACATTTGAGTTACAACGTGAGCAAAACCCATACTAAACTAATGCCATGAAACTGATTGCCTGATTAGTGATTTGATCTCACCATTCCCAGTAGTCAGAAAAAACATATCTCCAGTCAAATTCCAGGCGATCTCATTTACCTAACACCAGGGAAAATAATCACCATAGGCGGTTACTAGCTAACTTGGAGGTCATGTCAAACTGAAATACTATGATCAGAAGCTTGTTGATGGAGAGTAGTAGAACAAGCATAATGGGTCGTGCAATTATTTTGATAGCACAAAACATGCATTGATATCTTTGATGGACTTAAAGAGTGCAATTTTTGTTCCCACAAGTTTCCACCACAAGATGATGGAAAACATATGCAGACAAGAACAGCTAATGAATGCCATAAAATATTAATAATCAGAAATGTGAAGTTAGCTTCCATCATCTTCGATGGACTCAGAGATTCACTATTTTTTGGCTTTGAGGTATGATGGAATAAAGAAGAATAACTTTTGAACTATCTGCGCTTCTTTCAGTAGTAAATTAGCAGTTGGTCAATGCAACTTTTGACGCTCATCATGAGTCATTTGGAAACAGCCACTCTATGCTTTAAACATAGGGGGCGTACATCCGGCTCCCCTTACCCTGCAATGAGCGGAATCCTTTGAGGCATTGGGGTGATATTTTTGTTGTTGGATATGTGAAGTGGATTGAGATTCAAGTCTTATTTTTATATCTTTTGTACAAGGCCTTTTATTAGTAGGCTTATAGCAAAAAACAATGATGTTATGATCTCCTAAGCCATTATGTTATCATGACTTAAGTGATGATGCGAAGGTTTGCAAAGCAAACATGTGAGGTTCAATTCTAGAGACTATATCTAGTTTTTTACACTCCCCCTCATGCCCATGTACAAATCACACGCATCAAGCTTGTTGAAAAAAAAATATTTTATCCTGGGACCTCTAAGATACTTGTCAAGGTGTGTGAGTTGATTGAATCTGAGACATAGCTAGTGACGATGTGTCAAGATATAATCTTCTCTCACATAAACAGGCAATCCACTTCAAGGTGCTTAGTCGTCTAGTGGTATACTGGATTTGGTGTGATATTGTTGCATTGTTGCCACACATTAGTTCCGTACTTCAACTCCTAGAGGAGATATTTTATCCATACGGTCTCGCATTCAGCAAGATTCGTTGCACAATATTTCGCTTCAACACCTAATCTGGCAACCTCACGTCTTGCTTCTTCAGCTTCCAAGACAATAAGTGTTAACCAATAAAGATACCATACCCAGAAGTGGGTCGTTTTTCTATAGGACAGCCGGTCAAATCAGCATCAGAGCAGTGAATAAAAACCATTAGGCATCCTCTAGGTGGTAGACTGAAACCTAGCACCTAGGCAGTCTTAAGCAAAGATTGATCGGGGCCTATGCGGTCTTAGGTAGGAATAAGTCGTAGGTGGCTAAGGATGCCTAGCGACTAAGCGGCATAGATGGTCACCTCTTCTCTCCTAAAACACCACAGGCGATGAGGTGAAGGTCTACCGCTTGGAGAGACGCAAGGTGGGTGAAGTTCAAATTGAGGCTTCCAGGTGTTTGCCTTGCATGCCTGACTTCTGGGCAAGAGGCGTTCGCCTTTGACGCGTGTATGTGATATATATGAGGGTAGCTTTCCAAGTCTCGAGATTGGTTGGTGAATAAGGCTCTTAATGTCAAAGTGGCTATGAAACATTTCGGGTTGGACCTTTAGACCCAAAAATGCCTGAAATTCTCATTCTTACAGTTTTGACTTAATTCTCCTTATTTGGTAAAATAAACGCGAAGGACTAACTGTCCTCTTATTTGGCATTTTCTACATATATCATTAATATACTAAAATCAATCTCTTCTCAATACCCTTGGCCCAAAAATTCTGATCAGTGAGGACTACAATTTTCATGCTATATTGGCTTCAAATAGACTCCTAAATTAATACTTGGAAAATCCGAATTATCCTTGGACGAAATAGACAAAGAAGAAAGCATCCAATATGACATTTGAAATGAAGAGGAAGCCAACCTGGCGAATAGTTAATCAATAGAGACAATACACTGTTCAACAGTGAATTGTCAAGGGTCTTTTGACAAGGAGTTTCCTTCCCTATGATGAGCTTAGAGCTTAGACGAAAATGCAACAGTGAAAAGGAAGAAATCCATCATTAATGTCTTGAGTGAATAATAATTTGTCTCTATAATAATATTTCTTGAATCATGGTACCCTTTCTGTATTTCTAAGCGTAGTGGCTGAATTTTTTTGTGGAAAATTAAAATTTGGCCGAATTTTTTTTTTTCATAACCCATCATTAAGATGACTGGGAATGTTGTATTATAAAAAGGAATTGATACTTGGAATAAATCAGAAAATGATTTGAGAAATATAAGAGTTTGCTCTTTGAGTGAATCTTGATTTTGAGTGTTCAATTTATATTCCCTTCCTAATCTTTTTTGAAAGCCAAAATAGCATTGCATTGCTTTAAATCAAATGGGAAACAAAGTCAGGGGTGCCTCCCAAACACCACTACGAGACATAGTACTACACGTGAGCGTGTGAGCAGCAGCATTACGCTCACAAACAATGAACAAAAACAAAACAAAATCAAAAGATAAAACCAGTTGCTTACAATCATCAATAAAAGATCCAAAATAGGATTCCAAGCTTCAGGAGTCACCTTGTCACAAAAACGTTGACTACCTGAAAATTGTCAGAGCATACCTCCACCAGCCGTACCTGTCGGCCCTTCAACAGAGAAACCCCTCTCTTAAACACCACACTTCTGCTAACAGCAGATCAAATGGGCAATCCATAACTGAACAACACAGCCCCCATTGCAACATCGCCCGACAGAATAAAGAAGGCCGCATAAAAGAACATCTCAGCCCACCGTGCCTACCCAAGCATAATAAAAGTATCCACCTGCAGGTCTAGATCAGTAACACCCAGCGGCAATGCGGATGCCATGGACAGAGTTCTCCCAATTGGGAGCCAGGGAGAACCTCAAACCAAAGTGTCTTTTCCGTTACAAATACACAGACCAATCCCTTCCTTGAGAAGGTCCTAAGCCGCCAGGATACTCCCCCAACAATAGCTCGGGTAACGCCCTAACGTGGCTTGAGGAAACGAGGTTTTCGGAAAACACCTGGTCTTAAGAGTGAGTTATCTCTTATAGTCTTATATTTCAACGTAGTACAATCATTCTTCCTACCTATTTTCTGAAATCCTACCTCCATTTAGTCCTTCAAATACTGCTTCTTCTTTTTTTCGTAGGCAAATATATATAAGTAGGTTGGACCGAACAATAAACAACAAGGGATGAAAAGTATAAATACCCAAGCCCTGATTGACGAAACATGGGCATATGTCACCCATCTTAACGAAAAACGAATTGGACCAATTCTAGAAACTATGTCTACTCTTCCATAGGAAATATTAACAGGTCCAGTGCTAAGAAAAATAAACTCATTGTAATCATGTTGGATACCCCCTTCACAACTCCATCAATGAAATAAAATAACTCATACAAAGTTGTCATGTAATCAAATTTTAAGAAACTTTCACATGGTGCAAGTAGCAAAAAACATATGGAGTACCTCATAGTTGAACTTGCGCTTGTGTATAGCTTTGAATTTGCGGACATCCAATAGTGTAAGTTCATCTTCCTGCAACATAACTTAACAATAATAATTTACCGTACAGAAAAGCTGGCCATATATATTGCATGGATAAATTACTATTCAGTTGTGCATACAGGTAAAAACACTAAATGTGAATCTATAGACAAATACTACGAAGTATGTCTAACTTGAGTGTGAAGATCACACTAACAAGCTGAAGATATAATATAGGAAAAAATATTACCCTGTTGCCAACAGCTATATGTGTACCATCAGGTTTATAAGTGATATTTATATTTTCCCCACTTAATTCAACTTGTTGAGAACATTTGCCACCTGTCAATCACATACCAAGTATGAGTGAGCATCTCACATAAATCTCTGCATAAAGTGGGAAAAATTGTTTTATTTCAGAGTTCCATGGTCGTTGAAATCGTGAATTCGTAATTTGCCTCATAGAATAGCATGATTCTACGAGTACTATACATGATATAGATCGTTGCTCGAATCGGAAAATTCTTGGATATGATCGGGCGCAAAAGCGTTGTTTGGTCCATGTAGCCGACCCCACCTAGTGGGATAGGGCTTTTGTTGTTGCTGTTGTTGTTTTTTTCGTTATCTGGGATCGTCGAATCAAACGCTAGAATTGTTGGATTGTGGACCGATTCTATCTAAAAGATCTGGTTTTTATAAAAAAAAATCTGAAGAAACTTCAAATTTCCATCTCCTGAGGCGTTTGAAGCCACGTACGGCTCGCTAATATTTCCGTCTCCTGACGCATTCAATGTTGCAGACGGTCGCTGGTTGAATTTATGAAGAAAAAATCAAATTTTGAAAAGAGTCACATCTTTATGTCTCCTGCAGCGTGTGGCATTTAAAGTCTATAAAGTCTCCAACAATTTCTTCTTGATATGCTTCCCTGTTCGTGCCTTATATTTTTTCTTAATTTTTCATGCATCGATAAGATTTGTAGAGTACTATTAATACTGTTCAAAATTAGTAGTGCAGTGACAAGTTCTCTACAAATCTTCTTGATGCATGAAGAATTAAGAATGCATATAAGGCTACCATCAGGGAAGCACATCAAGGCGAGATTGTTGAGATTGGAATCCAAATATTCTGAGTTCTTCCTCAGTTACCACTTAGTATTTCCTTTCAAGCATTTGTTAACTCCAATATTAAGGTTGCAAAGTTATTTCCTTCCCTTGTTGGTTTGGTTATTTCATTTCATGGCTTGGAACGTCACTCCATCAGAAGAGGATTTCTCTGTGGAATATAGACAAAAATTAAAAAGAAACTGAAGACAGGGAAAACTGCCTAAATTTCCAGACCTTTCTGCTTATCCTCTTATAATTTATTTCTGTGGTTCAAAGAATCACAGGTCTGCATGCTGGGAGGCATTTTGGAAACAGCCTCACTACCTCTCAAGGTAGGGGTAACTGGTAAAGTATGTGTACACCCACCCACCCTTGACCCCAATCATGGGATTTTACTGGGTTGTTATTGACGCAAAGAATCCTGATTAGTAACAGTTATCATGTATCAATCAATAACAATTGATTTCAGTTCTTTTGTAGTGACGAAATGAGATAATTCTACATCCTGAAATCAGTCATGCCTGAATTCCAGACCATGAACATCTGTTAATGTGCTTACTGCGAGCATCCCACAATCGAACTGTCTTGTCAAGTGATGCTGTTGCAATTAAATCAGCATGCTTAGGGTCCCAACATAATTGATCAACACTGTCAGTATGGCCTTTTAATTCAATATCCTTTGCCTTGGCCTGCAAAATTACTTCGAGTAACTACGAGAGTATGAATAGGGAATAGAAAACTTACTTGATTGTAGGCTCATACCACAAATAAATACTACACTTTTAGAAAATAAGATAATTTATAGCATGTATTTTATTCCTCAAGTACCAAAATATGCAAGATGAGACCCTTCCCGTGACTCTTGCCAAGCCGGGACACACTATGTGCACCAGGTTGTCCTCTTAATCACCAAGTATTAGGAGAAATACAAGTCAATGACACTAGTGTTGGAAAGCAAATAGGAAACTGAAAATGAAAACCATTTGTTTAATTTACTTTGTCAATCCTCTTTTGTATCAGTCTATCAGTTGATTCTAATGCTGCTGGCAAATCTATTTATAGGTATTAAATGAACGGGATATACTGGGTATGATATTATTGTTATTCCTTATATTCAAAATCTATCAATTTGGTATCAGAGCCTTGTTTGAGATGGTAGATACAGATTCTAATCTTATTAATCCGACGGCTCCTTCCGTCAGTACGCCTGTTCCTTTGGCTGTCACCGCTGCCCATCCAGAAACTTTGGACATCTTGGCCAACAATGTTGCGGCTTTTGAAGGCTTCAGATAGTGCTAAGCTTGACAAAGGCAAGTGACTCTCACGCAGATGATAGCAATGAGGAGTCAAAATCATATCGACGGGTTCAGGGGCAACAATACATCGAATTTAAGTTTCCCGAGTTTAGGGAAGGTGACCGAAGAGGGTGGACACTCAAGGATGAAGGAGCATCCATGCACCTTGACCGTAAAGGGTGGATACTCAAGGATGATGCTTGCCATGTATGTTCGCCTCGCCATACGACTTGAGGAGTTGTGTTTCCAGGAATAGAGTATTAATAGGGTTCGTGGTAAGAATAACTACCAGCTAACTCATATAGAAAANATGATAGCAATGAGGAGTCAAAATCATATCGACGGGTTCAGGGGCAACAATACATCGAATTTAAGTTTCCCGAGTTTAGGGAAGGTGACCGAAGAGGGTGGACACTCAAGGATGAAGGAGCATCCATGCACCTTGACCGTAAAGGGTGGATACTCAAGGATGATGCTTGCCATGTATGTTCGCCTCGCCATACGACTTGAGGAGTTGTGTTTCCAGGAATAGAGTATTAATAGGGTTCGTGGTAAGAATAACTACCAGCTAACTCATATAGAAAAAGAGCAAGGTTCCTATGACATTGCCCGGCAATGTCATGGGATGACCCGGGGGCGCTCCGGTGCCCCGTTCGTAAAATTGACGGTTTCTACCCCCTAACCCCCTGGTAAACCCCCCACCTCGTCCCGACCCGAACACACCCCCACCCCCTTCAATTGCACCCCACAAGTTGATTTTGACTTTGGACCCTTGACTACAAAGTCAAAATCAACTTGTGGGGTGCAATTGAAGGGGGTGGGGGTGTGCTCGCGTCGGGACGAGGTGGGGGGGTTTACCAGGGGGTTAGGAGGGTAGAAACCGTCAATTTTACGAACGGGACACCGGAACGCCCCCGTGTCATCCCATGACATTGTCGGGCAATGTCATGGGAACCTTAGTGATAGAGAAAAGATGGGAAGAGGAGATTGTTGGAGACATATTGTTGATTTTTAGGAACTTGAAAGCTATGGAAAACTAGATTTTATTTACTTAAATTATACTCCCTCCGTCCCTGAGTATTTGTCCACTTTTGACTTTTTTCAGTCAAAATTGGTAAACTTTGACCTCAAATTAAATAAAAATAACATTAGATATAGATACAAAAATAGTTTTATTAGATATATTATTACAAATATTTTCAAAATATTATCTTATCTAATTAATAAATAATATATATTATATATAATTATAAGTAAAAGGTTGAAAACAGTTGACCGAAAAAAGTCAAAACTAGACAAATATTCAGGGACGGAGGTAGTAGTAACTAAATGAGTGGGGAATTAGTGGTTGCGCGAACGACTCACTTTATTACTCTTGTGGCACGATTGTAAGGATATTTTCCTAGAATTACTGATTTAATTTTTGTACAACAAGAAAGCCTTGTCCCACTAGGTGGGGTCGACTACATGGATCAAACGACGCCATTGCATCCTATCATGTACCATATCTACAGTGAGATCATTCACGCGTGTCAAGTCTTCTTAGGTCTACCTCTTCCTCTAGCCACACGTCTATTCACCATTTGATCAACCCTTCTCATTGAATGCTCTATTGGTCTTCTCTTCACATGTCCAAACCACCTAAGATGAGTTTCCACCATCTTTTCTACAATAGGTGCCACTCCATCTTTAGTTCTCATATCTTCATTCCTTACTCTATCCATACATGTATGACCGCTCATCCATCGAAATATCTTCATTTCGGCCACACTAACCTTGTGTTCATGTTCATCCTTTGCTGCCCAACACTCTGTTCCATACAATATTGCTCGTCTAATAATTGTCGTACGGTAAAATTTTTCCTTTATTTTTAAACGTACTTTTGTATCACATATAAAGCTTGAAGCACTCCACCATTTTGACCAACCGGCTGGGATCATGGGCATAACATCACCATATATTTCTCCATTGTCTAGAATGATACACCCAATATATTTAAATCTCTTCACCTGTGGTATAGTATTTTCTCCGACTTTCACCATGATGTTACTATTTCTCTTTCCATTGCTAAACTTGCACTCCATATACTCAATTGTAGTGCGACTTATACACAAGCCATGCAACTCCAAAGCTTGTCTTCACGAAACCAATTTCCCATTTAAATCCTTTCGTGATTCGCCCATAAGGATGATGTCATCGACAAAAAACATGCACCATGGTGCACGTTCTTGAATATGCTCGTTAAGAACTTCCAATATTACTATAAAAAGATGGCTTAACAATGACCCTTGATGTAATCCTACACCGATGGGAAATTCTCCTATTACCCCACTTTGACTTCTCAAGCTCGTTGTAGCACCATCGTACATGTCCTTAATCGTACGAATATACGCAATCCTTACTCCTTTTTTCTGTAACACCTTCCATAATACTCTCTTGGCACCCTGTCATATGCCTTTCCAAATAAATAAAAGCCATGTGTAAATCTTTCTTCTCACTTCGGTACCTCTTTATCATTGTCCATCATACTACTCATTTTATTTTCGTATTTCAGTTTTATATACAAAATCAACAGCATAAAGCAAGGGATGAGGTATCAGAATTATATTTTTATCATTTGGATTTTGGACATTCTACTTGGGTATTAGAGTTTCTTTAAGTGAGATGCTTGGTTGGTAAGTTTAGATAGAGTGATCGTTATATTCTGTTTTTCTGATTCGGTATCTACCATTACCTTTGGCAGATTGCAAGATCAGAGGAGAGTATAACCTCCTCAACAGCAGCCACCTTCATTAAACCTGTATCAATTGTCACAAGTTTTGGAGTGTCACAAACATAAACCAAACAGAATGTGAATTCCTCTTCAAAGCAGAGTGATAGGAGGTATTGTGGCAATATTCAGCCCAAGGAAGCCAATCTACCCAATGGTGTAGCTGATCACCCAGAACACCACAAGGCATCACACCTACATCTCAACTGTCCCCACCTATGTTTGGCTGTCAATTTTGGGGTAATTAATGGCTTGCTCTTCATGTGATCTGATTGGTCTGATCTGATTGACCTGCTTGATCTGCTCTGATCTGATTGTAGTTATGTTTAAAGTTGTTTATAATCTGATCTGATCAGATTTCAATAAGAACAAGTAATATGTAATAAGAATAAGTTGAAAAGAACAAGCTCTAACTTTAGAAAAGGACAATGTAGTGTCACTAAGATGGAACACTTCCTTCCTAAAATTCCTTGTAAACACTTTATCACTGACAATGGTTTCCACGGGCCCATGGAGTTTAACATAATTAACAAAGAAAAGTTGATCCATCAAGACAGTTGTGTAAGGATGTGGTATGTTAGAGTGTCATCCCACATCGGAAATTTAAGAACAAAATAATCGATATATAAGCTTTTGAGTTGAACTAACTAATCGATTGGATTCAATCTTTTAATGTGGTTCATCCCAAGTGTCTTATTGCCTAATCCAGTTGTCCATACTCCATCCTAAATTCTATCATGGTATCAGAGCAGGTTTTGGCCCACCTCGTTTGTCAAGGTGTCTGTCTAGACGTTCATTCTTAGCGGCCCGTTAGTCTTTAGCCCAGTTGTCCGTATGGAGTATGTACCCAACGGCCTGTGGCCCGTTTAACACGATTGCTCACCTGGAAGTCCATACTCAGCAACTCGTGGTCCTTTAAGGTGTTGGCGCTCAAAAAAAATCAAGGGAATGAGAGTTTATTTGCAAGTGGTCAACCGGTTAGATTCAAAATGGCCCGGTTGTCCCCTTGAGGGGGAGTGTTAGAGTGTCATCTCACATCGGAAATTCAAGAACAAAATAATTGATATATAAGCTCTTGAGTTGAACTAACTAATCGATTGGATTCAATCTTTTAATGTGGTTCAACCCAAGTGTCTTATTGCCTAATCCAGTTGTCCATACTCCATCCTAAATTCTATCATGGTAGAGGCATAAAATGAGCATATTTGGAAACATGATCAAACACCATCGGGATAAAAAACGATCCATTACACTGATGTATACGGCTATACGCTTTTAAATTCTCTGGGTTAAGTAGCAATTGGTAAGTTCAAATATCATTAACATTGGTAAATTTTAATCATTTTTATATTGAATATCTATGTAGTAAGCATCATGCACTCGGTTATCCCTCTTATTTGTTGCACTGATATACTCGTACCATGCTAAGGGTTGGTTGCTATGCTCCGCTGTACAGAAACCATAACACTCGCTTCGAAAGGCATGATAGAATATCAAATGCATAGAGAAAAAACAAAGGAACTATTGATAATAGAAAGTGAAAGCTCAAGACTTTTAAAATATGGGGAATAGAACATGAGTTTTACCATGAAGTTAGAGGGGGGGTGATAGAACAAAGAATATAGAAAAAAATTAAGTATTACAAAACAAGGATCAGGTTATGTCATGGAAATCGACTGATCAACAAAACTAGTCATCTTTTGTGACATTTCATTGAGCACAAAGCCACAAACAAGTTAAAAATTTGTCAATGATTTTGTTATACTTGGAGAAGTACATGATAAGGAACTACAAAAGTACTTGGTGAGCACTGATAAAGAAGGATACGACATAAATGTCATGACATAATCAAGAACATCCGAATATGCAAGTAGAAATGAAGGAAAGTGTTAGAAGTTAGAACTTGTTGCTTTCCTTATCACAATTTTGCTAAACCAAAAACCCACTCTAAACCACTTCACATTCACAATCATCATGAATTAGTTAAACCACACCTACCCAAGGTGAGATAACATAATCTATTTCGTATGCAAATGATATGGTGTTTGTTCATGTATCCAAAAAGGGATTGTTGTAAAGTTAGAATCGTAATCGCGTGTGATAATTCAAAGTGAAACTAAGTATAGGAAGAAAATTAAGCACCATTAAACATAAACATCAAAGTGGGTGAAATTGGATGGCTTAGATGTATCAATTAGTGTTCCTAATATGTAGGATCTATTATACAAATAACTAAGAAGAGAGACACCAAAACAATCCATGTTAACTAAAATATGGAGGAATAATAAGAGTTAACACTAGCATCAAGACTTATTGTTAGAGGTTTCTAAGAATTTGTTGGCGCTGCTCTAATAGGAATATTTCAAGATCTGGTCTCTTTTGAATCTTTCTGATCTAATTTATTATGAACATATATCAAAAATTCCTTTGATCGAGTATAATTTTGTCTCAGTCTTTTGTTTAGTCGGGTCTCAATGCTTAGAATTTCAATATCTTTGTTTTAAATATATCATCTAGTCTGGTGAGTGAAACAGCCTAGTGTCTGTCTAGTCCAGTATTAATGTTTCTGATTTGCAGTATGTTTGGTCTAGTTTCAAAACAAGAATACGTACTGATCAAAAATTAAAGTGATGATTAGATCATTTAAGACCAAAAAACATATTATATAGAACCACCACCATTAGACATGTGATACTATATTACTATCTGAATCAAAATGCTGAAATATTAAAAAAAGGTGGTGGTTGCGATACAAGTTATGCAACAACAACCCAATAGAATTCTACTAAAGTAGGGTTGTGGAGGGTGTGTGTACGCAGACCTTACTCCTACTTGGATAGTAGAGAGATATGTATGTTAAAATAGATGTGAATTAATTTTAGGAGTTAAGAAAAAGAGAAAGACCGTTAGCAATTAAAAATGACTCGGGATGAGAACAGTAACTATTGAAGAGAAAGTAAGAGAGAACCATGTTCCAAATGATGAAATTGTCCAGGTGGGCGCCCTTCTACTCAAAGTCTTGCGGGGAGGAGGTAAGCCGTGGTATTGACTATTGAGCAACCCCTTGGGTGGAGCTCACATCACTAAATGAAACTGTGAGATAAGAGATCTTTTGGGTGATGTTTCAAATCTACCACGTGAGTACCTGCTGATATAATCCAACGAAGCCTTTGATACAAGGATATGGAAAGTTGGGGTGGGAAGGCTTTGGCAGAACCAGTGTTGTCATGTTGGCATGTCTTTTTTCTTCAGGTTCATGCTCCAAGAAAAAAATGGAGTATTGAAATATCAAAACACTTTCAGGAAGATCGAAGAGATTAAAAAAAGTGTCAAGACTCAAGAGTACACATTTTTTGTTCATTTAATGAAAATTTTTAACTCGACTAAAAAAAACATTATATTAGACACTAAACAAGCAGAGAGATTCTCCTAAGGTACAAAGAAACATGCAGAGAGATTCACTTAAGGTAAAAAGAAATAAGCAAAGAGATTCTCCTAAGCTACAAAGAAGCAGGCAGAGAGGTTCATTTTTGAAGTTAACTAAAATGAATAAGCTTACATGACCATGGGGATCAATATGCCAAATGCGAGCAGTTTGATCAACCGATCCTGAAGCTAGTTTAGTGCCAATGCAATTCCACGCTACAGAATGAACCTTTTGTATTTCATTAAAAAAAAAAGGAAAAAAGACAGTTCATTCAGCCTTACAAACAAATTGGGTTCGCAAAATTCAGGAGAAAAAGAAAGCGGGCAGTTAAGGGTTTTTCCGAAAGATGAATATTTGTAAATGCGAGTGAAAATTTTACAATCAGTTCAGTACCTTCTTCTTGTGGCCATGGTATTCTCTGTTATGGAGGTTCTTGAATGGTATTGATTCCGTCATTCTCAGGTATGGCCCTGCTGCGGCTACGCAATCCTCTTCCCGCTCAGATCTTAGGTGCTTCACAGGCTTTTGCCTTTTGCTGCAACTTACAACCAATGCTTGAGATTGCAGACCTGGTCCGAGAACGGGGTGTTGAGAAGAATGGTATTCTTCTATACACCATACATCTTCCCACATATTTACACTTAAAACTTTACTCACTTTCTTTGCTCAATTTTACTAGTCATTTCATAAAATAATATAGTTTTATCAAGTTTTATAGAACTTTTTATGTAGTTTATTACTATATTTTAAAATTTTACTCCTATAATCAATTAAATTGAATTGAAAATAAAGTCGGTCAAGGCTCGTAACGCGTAATGGGAAGATCATACATGGACGAAGGGAGTATATGGTAGAACTTGATCCACAGAGATGGCTCTAAATTTGTTGAACTATGTTCAACTAAGTTAGCAAGTTCTCTTAGCTCTTAAGTTACGGTGACTCAAGAAAGCGTGAAGGGGAATTCCTGGAGCCCTTATAGTTTCAATTCTAGCACAAATATATAGAGTCATTCTAAAATAATACAGTATTCATTTTCACACATTGATTCAATATAATTATAATATTCATCTAAAAATATAATACAGTATTCATTTTCACACATTGATTCAATATAATTATAATATTCATCTAAAAAAAATGTAGTGTTAATTTTGAAACAAAACAATACTCATTCTCAAATAACTTAGTATTCATTTTCCTATAAAATAAAATTCATACCATAAATAATTTCTTGATTGTACCTAAAATTGGGTACAATCGAATGTATAATATAATTTGCCGAGTGTTGAGGGTTCGAATGAAAAGAGCCAAAATAGTTTAAGAAGTCAATTCCAAAATGATGTTTTAGGACGGATCATGAAGAATAAGGGGCTGTTTGTTTCAGCCTCTTAATGGTTCAGATGTCTGAATGGTTCAGCACTTAATGGTTCAGACTGTTTGTTTCAGCCTCTTAATGGTTCAGATGTCTGAATGGTTAAGAGATTTGCCTCTGAATGGTTAAGTATTATACAGAGTCTGAATGATTAACACCTTTTATCTGAATTGATCAAACATTTGCCTCTGAATAGTTAAGCAATATACTAGCTCTTAATGGTTCAGACCTCTTACTGGTTCAGCACTTAATGGTTCAGACCTCTTACTGGTTCAGCACTTAATGGTTCAGACCTCTTACTGGTTCAGCACTTACCTATTCAGAAGTTGCCAAATAGCCCCTAAGTATTTTATAACTAAAACTAGTATTTGAACGTGTGCCATGCACGGGTGGAACAAATTTTTTTGTCGATTCTAAATAAAATTTAAAGCAATATATTTTTCAAAAATAAAGAAAATATACTTCTCGCATGATATTAAATATCATGGGAGAAGTGCCTGGGTGGAGGAATTTCCCTATATCTTGTGGACCTACAGAACTACCCCGAGAAAGGCCACATGTGAAACTCCTTTCTCGCTCACATATGGATTTGAAGCAAGGGCTCTAGCGGAGACCTCGTTGCTGAGTTATAGAGTGGAGGCGTTTGACGCCCAGGAGAATGAAGAAAACTTGAGGGTAGAACTGCACCTCATTGATGAGCGAAGAGAAAGGACGTACATACGGGCAGAGAACTACCACCGGCAGGTCAAGTCATATCACGACCAGCGAGTGCGACCAAGGCAGTTCAGTGTAGGCGACTGGGTTCTTAGGAAAAGGGAGGTCAGTCGGCCGACCGATGGAGGAAAGTTTGCTAAGAGATTCGAAGAGCCATATATCATAAAGGAGGTGTTGGCCGATGGGACATTTAGATTGCAGACACCAGCCGGGGGCGACGTTCCGCGAGTATGGAATGCCGCCAACCTTATTAAATTTTGCAAATAGATTGTATTCCAGTATATTTCTCTCTTAAAGTTTAATAAAACCAGCATTCTGGCATATCTTGTCTTCAATTCTACAAAAAAAAAAGAGATCGCTAAGCCTAAGCTGTATGGTGATTCGTGCTAAGATATGAAAGGTAACTATGCAAGGATAGGCAGCGGAATATAAAAATTTTAACATCCTAACATGATTATCTTGCCCAGAATCACGTACTAAAACTTATAGTGAGTAAGAAATTTATACCTTTCTCCGTAAGCGGTAAAAACGAAGAGGTCGTAGGAAAAGCGTTGAAAGTGCAAACGTAACCGTTCAAGCGTCCGGTCTCCAACTTTGACACACGAACAACGCCGGAGTCTACCACAATCTTTATGCTAGTAAAGATTATAGTAGTATAAAATATAAAGATTAAAATCGGGATAATAATAATCTTGTATATTTCTATAGAAAATATTTCTAATAATATTTAGAAAATATTATAAATATTTTCTATACATAAAATGATATTCATGGAACCCCAAATAATCACTTTCTCTCTCTTAAAATGAATATCATAATCTTTTTTTCTCTTCTCTTATGAAAGTGGCGTGGAGGAGCATTTAACAAATTCAAAGTTGTGTAATTAATTTGTCATTAGCTAAATGACAAAACAATTAGCCAACTCAAATTCCAATCAAAGAAAATTTCTCCTTTAAAATCTCTTTTGGCCGTAAGTGTAGATTGTGAGAAGGATTTGTGAAATTCTTCTCCACTTAAATGTTCAAAGTGTATTTTATTTGACACCAAAAATTAATATA